GATGCCCATGATTTGGTGGTCACTCTCCATGACAAGATATAGACACCTTTGTTATAGTGCCTTTGTTATGATGCCCATTATTTGGTGGTCACTCTCCATGACAAGATATAGACACCTTTGTTATAGTGCCTTTGTTATGATGCCCATTATTTGGTGGTCACTCTCCATGACAAGATATAGACACCTTTGTTATAGTGCCTTTGTTATGATGCCCATTATTTGGTGGTCACTCTCCATGACAAGATATAGACACCTTTGTTATAGTGCCTTTGTTATGATGCCCATTATTTGGTGGTCACTCTCCATGACAAGATATAGACACCTTTGTTATAGTGCCTTTGTTATGATGCCCATTATTTGGTGGTCACTCTCCATGACAAGATATAGACACCTTTGTTATAGTGCCTTTGTTATGATGCCCATTATTTGGTGGTCACTCTCCATGACAAGATATAGACACCTTTGTTATAGTGCCTTCCAAGATTTTATACCACTAATTTATTCTCTTTGCAATCGTCACATTTTTGTGGCGAGAAAGGACTGTATCTGACAAGTCACAACACTGCTGTTGCTACTTTTTTGGGTCAGAGATCGTACGTTCTGAAGTAGGGAAAAATCTATAATCAACTCTTCCGTGTACTAGCACTGCTATTTGCTCGGTTTCAGTGTAGCCATTATTAGAAAGCCTATGTTCCAGACTGGCTACCATGCGCAATATATATCTTTTAAGTTCCCATGTTTGACGCTTATAGTTATAGGGTCTTTCTAATAGGAAAACCAAAGTGGAGATGTGCCCATTCCCCAACTTCCTTGGGGTCAAGGAGTGCGGGGTGTGGGGTGGGAGTGGATGTGAATTGGTTGGTTTTGACTTTTGAGACGCACAGAATTGTGGTTTTTAATGTGTTAAAGAACCGCTATATCTTGCAAGGCAGAAACATTGAAAGCCTTGTAGAGTTTGACATTGTTATCCCTTTTGCGGGCAACTCGGGCATACCTCAAATCCAGTGGCAGAACATCTTCTAGAGCTGTTAGGCGCCTACATGAAAAGACCACCAGGGCCAAGCTTCCAAATGTGCAAACTGCATGAGCAATTAATCTCACAATATTAGTAACCCTTCACAGTTTCCAGCCAGAGTAGCTTCAGATTACGTTTGAATTCTAACTGCAACACTTTGCATCTACACCAGTCTTGGTGGGTAGGATTACCTTGGTTACATTTAACTGTAGGCTGGGTAGACTGTTTAGTGAATTGGCTGAGTTGCACCACAATTAGTTTACACTTGATATTCTAAAAAAATCAGGCATAAATGATGTGTGAGAAAATGAACTCGTCGCTTGCCAGTCGTATTGCAAATAATGTCGGGTTAAAACATATTGTTGGTCTTATCTACGTTTTCTCCAGATTACACATTAATATTGTCATACTGAATTGAAATAGAATATTTAGAGAAATTAAAAGCTGCAGTTCGGGGCTCTAATTCTCAAGATGCAAAAAGAGCAAATATACTGCCAAAGTAGCCCCAATAACGCCCTTAACGGTTAAAAGAGCCATTTTACGTCCATTCTAATAAAGTTGTCTGGGCGCTAAGGGCATGGGCAGAGATCATTTTCTAATTTCAAACTTAGCTTTCGAATCAATAGGCTGTCTACAGCTAACTTCTAGTAGAGACTGTTATCGTGCAGAAATTACTCATAATGAAGAAGGGCGCATCTCAAATATCATCATAAACATAAGCCAGGTAAAGTTCATTGTTTACATACAGGATGCACTACAAATGGACACTGTTGCAACTCATACAAAGTACAATAAATCAAGTTCAGATATTGCAGCTCCATAATGAACTATATAAACCAGGTGTTTCATTTGACAACTACATAAGTGCTCTGACAATCCAAATTAGAATGCAAAGGATTTACTTCTCCTTGGTATAGTGTCGCACAACAAAGGCTAAACCCAAAATCAAGAGGGGCACAAGAAACTGCAAGATTTTGATAACGAATTCCGGAGTCTTGTCTGGATTATATGGGGTTTGTTGTGGTGGGACATAAGCATGTTTCAAGGGAACTGTTGATGCATCGATTTCTCCAATGTAATATTTATCCATCATCTTTCTAGCATCATCACTATGGCCGACATCTTCAAAGTCATTTGTTGCATCTTTCCCTGTCAGACAATCAAAATTTCAGAAATCAACGCCATAGAGAAAGCCTTTATCTACAGTTAGAACCAAGATAAACTGTGTGAAATACTCGAGCATTACCTGTTGCTGAAAGCAAAACTTCATCACCACCTGGATGATCTTCCATGAATGGAGTCACATCATACACCTAGAGAAAACACCACGACAAAAATCAATATTTGTATTAAGGAAGGAGAAAATAAGAACTTAAAGCAGAGATAGAGAGACAGAGTAAGTAGCTTAAAGCAGAATGTCCATTGTCGCATCCTTTAGGTGCTCCTCAGAGTTATGCTTGTAATAGCTCTGAGTAGGAAACTGCTTTCTAACATTCCATAGCTGACTGGCTAGTAATAAAGTTGAATAAGTAACTAGTGTATTAGATGTAGGTCTTTCTTTTGCTAATCAGAGCATGTGAAGTTTATTTTATTAAGCTCAACATCTGTTCCTCAAATGAGATTAAAGGATCCTTGCTCGACGAGGTTACTCTATATTTCGTTAAAATTTAGGAGCCAAAACTGCTAATTGGAATTCAAGAACGGGCAGGGGAAGTCAGGTTAAGACATTTTGCTTCGTTAGCATAATGTAAGTCTGATGTACCTTTGCATAAAGCATACTCCTACAAGGCTTGCACCTGTGTCAGGAGTTGAGAGTCACTGAGATACATGACTGAACATGCTTCATGTGGCTAGAGATTTTCTTCTTTGGAAGTTTGGAACATGTCAACTCCTTGTCTTATAGCATTCAAAGCTATTTGGTGGAGAGTGGAATCAAGAAGAACATAACCAAAAGAACAGCTGAAGGGATGGAATGGCTCATTCACACCACAAGGCTAAAATGAGACGTAAAATGTCTCTAAGCTTCAGATGTATATCCAGTTATCTACTTATAACGATGTGAAAGTATGTATAGGTTTTATGCTATAAATTCATCAATGTAACGAGCCTGCCATCACAATATGTGATACTAGCCACCGATTTTTCTTTTTGTTTTCATTTTTTGTTTTGT